TTTACAGAGAACGTTTTGCTTCAAATCGGTATTAAGATTTGTTTTCGCTTTTGCTATAAAGGCAGCTCGTGCTAACGCACCGTAGGGAGATGTCCTTTGGAAGCCAGTGTTGTCGTATGCCCTCCACGAAGACATCATCATCGCATTTTGAGCGTAGAACGGACTTGACAGTGGTGTCTGGTGGTGTGGTGCCCCAGCACCCAGATGGTGGTGGTGGTGGTGGTGATGGGGTGTGGCAGTCACGTAGCTGTCTGGTGTTCCCGGCTGATGGTGCCACGAACTCGAACTGCCGGTGGAGCCACCTACAAAGTGGTGAGAGTTGGTTGTGGGTCCCCCCGAGGGACTATATTGTGGATGGTGGTGATGGTGATGCTGGGGAAGTCCTCCCATCATTGCGCGGTTAGAAGGAACGTAGACAGGGTGGTGAGCTGAACTGCCCACAGCTGCGGCGACACCCAGAAAAGCTCCCCCGTTGCTGCTACTGCTGGGTGGGGTGGAGTCCGAGTAGCTCCCGGCGCCCGGCGCCCCGTTCGTCTGGAACATGCTGACTCTGTCCTCACTCCATCATCTGCAATGGAGATTATATTTAGGCCGAAATGAATAAGAATTAAGCCTTGTCGTTACTATGTTTTATGTTGTTAGAGATTATGAATAACACATATTCAGAATGAAACCGTCAAATCTAAATAGGTGGTACAGTTCTTCCAAACAACTTCTATATCTTGCGTTGCGTTTATGTAGATGCAATTTACGATGGGATGACACCAGTTTCAAAATATTCATCAGTCCAGCTTGCTGCACTAACTGTCGTATTTGCCGAACCAGCACCATACCCGTGTTGCCTAGGTTGGTGTGATCATAAACACGGTGCTTTCACTTATACGGCGCGGCTACTCTGTTTTCAGAAGTCTCTGTGGCAATGACTGACTTACACCAAAAGCTTTTTTGCTCAGTGTTCAATCATCAGGCTACAAAATTAGTGGCGTACACCATGTGTGTTTAGTGTACAATTTCCATTGGCACGGATGTAGATAGTGTTAAATTTTCTATATAATTTATCCTTCGTCCATGCATTGAAACAAGCTGTGTTCTTTGAATGGGAGATAAGGCAATCGGAAGATCTCTTCTTACACATCGGCTAATTGTGCAGGAAACTCGGATAAATATGCGTTGTATGGCGTGTTCTATCTACCATTAACCACTTAATTTTATAATTTTATATTAATAATGAACCGTCGGGACCATTAAACGGAAAGGAGCATCTTGATCATGTGAGCGAGTGTCATCGTCTGTGAAAGGACTCCGTTTCATGTACTTAATTATGCTAACTTTCATTACTTTGCTTTTATGTGGGGATTTTAATATATGATTGTTGTCAGGCGTTTTCTCGAAATTCCAAATGTTTCCGTCATTTGTTATTATTGAGTTTTATATTTCACTGAATGGGGCAGATTTACATAAAGGCGTGACTATTCGTACTTACGGCCACAGCTCAGTGAAAAGAATATGGCCGACCGTAACAAGTATATGCAATAAAAAACTGATACCAGCAAAAGTATTCAGTCTTAACTCTACAGCTGCCATGAAATTAATTTGGAAATTTAATTTACGTTCCATTTTAAATTATTTACTTTGATCAAAGGCAAATCCTGTTTCTGTAAAATCCCTTCCGATATTATCTTCCCATGTTCGTCCAGGTCTCAGAAGTAGCATCTTTCCTTTAGGTTTGTAGCTAAACTTTTGTATACATTTTTGTCTATTCCATAAGTTTTACGTGTCCCGCCCAGCTCATCCTCCTTGATTTGATCACCCTAATATTATTCGATGATGAATAGAAAATATGAAGCTTCTCACTGTATAGTTTTCTCCATTATACTCCCAGTTCTTATGTATTACTTAGTTGTGTGTGATGGTCACAATTGTCCTTCATGATTTTCTGGTGTCCAGTTATTTGAAATGAAAGTGAAGGTCCATCGCTTTCTTCAGTCTGTCCGTCACACCGTGTCTCCTGAACGGCAATTTGCATAAAGGAATAACGAAAAACGAAATATTGAAAGAACATGACGAGAATCATAGTGTAGAAGCCATAAGAAGGAAACAATTAGAAAGGGGTAAGATATATTCTGAAATATTGCTTCAGGATAACAGAAAATATATTTTATTCTTTTCCATTTCTACGTAATATCTGCAAGTTTGTTTTGATGACTGCCTTTCTCGTATAGACGAAACATAATTTCTCTTACTACCAAATGAAATGTATTTTTTTTAATTCTTGATGATTTTCACTTTCGAAATTATGTCCAAGTTTGCTTCTTATTTTTTCTTTATTCTTTAATATTGATTTGATATAAGGGGCGCCATGTCATTACGTCAAAGGGTTCGTAATTACTGAATCAAACCGTCCGTCATGGGAAAGCTACTACATCTTTGCCAGCCACAAGGGGTAAAATTCAAAGGGATCGTGTGTGTATTTTAACATTCCTGGCGCAGGACTTACACTGTCGTGGAATGTGCGCCCTAAGTTATGTGGAAGGGATGAACCTAAGCACGTGACTCCAAGGGGGAAGTGACGAATGGGGGGGGGGGTTTGAACAACTACTTCTTGTGCCTCGCTACTCAAATGAAGCTGTCCCACGAAAGAATGAATAATGACGTATCCGGTTTCCTTGGAGCGATTTCTGAGGCGAGAACTCCACTTGGGAAAAGTCGAACTTAAGGCTGCGCTGTACTGGTCTGCGTTGGGGATGCTGAGATGGGAGGGACTTGTAGCACGTGTAGGAACATGAGAAATACAATATTTTGGTTGGAAAACCTCCAAGGAACAGAAAGATTGAGAGGGAAGTATGTGCAAGGATAACAGATCCTGGAGGAATAAGGTAAAAAAGTGTGGTGTGGCTTAGGGTTTTAGTCTAGTGACCGGTTTTTGTGTACACGATTATAAAATCCCCGATTCATTAAAAGCAGGAAATTTTATGACCGGTCGCTTATTAACGTGTCCAAGCTACTCTAAGCCTATTTTCATGTAGCTGGTTAGAGAAACAAATGAATAGATTAGCTTTGTTAAATCTCATTTCAATTCTAGTTCGAAAACACTTTCCTGTATCCCGAAATTTTGTTACTAATCGATATATTATTGTATCATTCGGCAATTCTTTGTCGGGATACGAAATTAGGCTGTAGGACCTAAACTTTGGTTCAAAATTCCCAAGCTGGCTTCGTTCAAGAGCAACTCTTGTTACAGGAAAGGGCCGTCCTTTGAAGGCAAATGTGCTGCATGCATGAAGCAAGTGTATGAACACGTGACTATTTCAGCAACTGCTGGAACCTCCCTTGCTGCTTGTTTTAGGGAGGCAAATAGAACGGTATCATTTTGCACTCACAACACATGATCGGTGTATCCGTTCCACCAGATGGGACGCCCGTTTGGGAACCTTGTTGCCAAATTATTTGTGACCCCCTTTGCTCCGCTCCGCCGGGTTCGACGACAACATAACAACCACGCGAAGACTAATTGGCAGGGCACGTCACTTCTCTTCTCTCGTTTAAATTGGACTCTCTTTTACTGGAGAAAGATTGAAGAACAATGGGGACAAAGCACCCCTTTGTACTTCATGAAGTAAAGCCTATGCCGAAGGCTGCATTTCTTCTAAATATATCTTGAAATATTTGGAATCATTATTTGTTGTGTCTTTACGACCGCTTGCACGTTTCTTGGTTGTAATCAAGCCGTGTTCTCCTCTAACTTTAATTTAAAGCATTTTTCACCATATCTTACCATCTTGTAAAATTATGTTCTTCGTTCTATTCAGCCGAAATCTTCAAGCTATTTTCTGTACGTTATTAGTATTATTTATTAATTAATTAATTTATTTATTCATTTACTTGCCGATTCGTCTCAATTGTCTACAAAGGAAGGAGCATTATTTAATTTCTACATGACTTATGTAGAGTTCTTTTCGAGTTTATTAAATGAAATTCTTACCCTTAGTTTCCATCGCTAGACGTAGAAATAAGCAAAACTCACAGCGCTACAGTACAGAAGTAAAGCTCATGGGTAAGATAACCACGCGTTAAGAGCCTATAGTTTGCAGAATTAAGATTGTGACTTTGAAAAAAAAAAAAAAGGACGTTACTAATTGTTCCCAGATGTCATTGCCTGCAAAGTGGCCAAGTACATTTTACTGCTTGCGTCGTCTCAATTGTCTACAAAGGAAGGAGCATTATTTAATTTCTACATGACTTATGAAGAGTTCTTATCGAGTTTATTAAATGAAATTCTTACCCTTAGTTTCCATCGCTAGACGTAGAAATAAGCAAAACTCACAGCGCTACAGTACAGAAGTAAAGTTCATGGGTAAGATAACCACGCGTTAAGAGCCTATAGTTTGCAGAATTAAGATTGCGACTTTGAAGAAAAAAAAGGACGTTACTAATTGTTCCCAGATGTCATTGACTGTGGCCAAGTACATTTTACTGCTTGCGTAAGAAAAATTCCGTGTTGTTGATTTATGGTTTTTGCACCGTCAAGTGTCCTTCACGAATTACATTCTTTAGATTTTTAATGTAACACATAGGTGTTTTCTGTAATACACATATTATAGCTACAGATATTAAATTAAATATATATTAATAATTAATATAAAATACACATATATTAATATAAATGCTTGAATTAATGTAATCACTTTCTGTCTTTACACTGTGAGTTAACCATATTATAATATTATCTTTCGAAGAAAACTGTTTTCATTAAGTCTAGATCATTTAGCTAATTGGTTTCAAGTCTACTCGTCTCCACTGTGCAAGTACAATAACCAGTGGCGGAGAGGGAAATGTACAATTATTTTAATAATATTACGGGGCAAACATTGTGTTTCTCAAGGACCCATCCTCTGAAATTGGCCGTGCGATCCTAAAGTTACACTAATCTGGGATAGTTGAATAATAAAAGTATTTTGCTTTCAGTTGTATAATTACATAATGCTCTCTTTTTTCACAGTTCAACTCTGAATTCGTGAAGATTGGCGTTTAAAATGTATTTTCTTCGATGTTATATGCTTCGATCACGGTTATTTTCAAACAAAGAAGTGTCTAATCATGCTGTCGAAATATTAGATTTCAAATCTCTCACGTACTGGCTTAATAATAGACTAGTCAAATGTTTGTGTTCTTCAGACGTGCATAAAGCTTATAAGTATTACAGCATATTAATTTTTACAGATAAATACATGAATTCTATTAATCGTTCCCTCTGCAAAATCTGACCAATTTCTCCAGCATTTTGCTATTTCGCATCACCGGTTTTTTTATGAATAAAGTTATCGAACTGGAAATAATGGGTGTTTGTAATGAACGTCATAATTTGTTCCAAGGTTTACGGCTCGAACCACTTAACAGAGGGGCTGGGTTTACTTTCAAAACAAAATATTTACTGAAGCAATAGAGAAGTGAGCGTGACACAAGGTAATACAGACGCAATGTTCATGGCTAAGGAAAGCAATAAAATGTCTTTGATATGTCTCGGGTGGCACATCGATACCACGCCCGAAGTGTGCCCGAGCCTTACAT